CTTCCGATCAGTTCCTCACTCCCACCCCCACGGGGATTTGGGCATTTCCACGCAAAGTAAGCCTGGGATAATATAGTGTGTGAGTGCATGTGCAGGCCTTCCTGTTCTACTGCAGTGACAAGCGTGGTGTCACTGACACCTGTGGGACTCTGGTCTCTCCCTGCATCTTTCCAGATCAAACTGCCAGGGTGGGATCCCTCCTCCACAGCTTAGATGTCCGCAGCAGAAGTGTCTACATGGATTCCAGTTACCTCGTCTCTCTTAGAACAGCTATGGTGGTAGTGACACTTTTAGGGTGCATTTCCATTTGACCCAGTTCAGGTGTCTGCTTAGCATGTGTAGGATCATACATGGTTTTGTAGAGAAGTCCCATCCTTAGCATCTGGTATGGCAGCAAGCCAGGCAGCTCTGCTGATTAGAGACTTACCAAAATACAGAGAATAAGCATGGGCTAGCTACGTGACATCCATAAAAAGCAAAATCTAGAAACTAGGCAATTATCTGGTGTTCTTTAAATTCTTTGCATGTTCATTATCGTCCTCTGTAATATTGCTAGTCCCATGGCATGAGATTTCACCAGGTGAATACACTACTCTAAATACAGCTTTAAAAGGCAGTGATTTAGCGCAGGAGAAGCAAGAGGAAGTCCTTCATATACATCATTCAGTTGTCAGTTGACAGGTTAGTACTGAAGCAGCAGAGCACTCATTGGCTGGTTCCATCCACATCAGCTCCCTTCTAAACTGAACTCAGATGGTCTGGGACTGGGACTGGAACTGGAACTGACTTAAGGGAAATGTGGGATGAAGGTGGGACTTGATGATCCTAGAAATCCTTTCCAACCATTGTGGTTCTATGATTCTATGGAAATAAAACAATGCAAACTGTTTTCTGAGCTGCTGAAGGGAATTCATCCTTGGTGCTGAAGTGTGTGTCTCAAGTGACTCACAGCGAGCAAGGGGCTTCTGAAGTCACCAACCATTAGTCTAGTCCACTTTGTGTTTAAGACCTGGATGCTTGCAATGCCCTCATGAATAAGAAATAATGCTGCTGCCATTTCATAGGGGTGTGCCTGGGCATGGACACCACAGCACTAACACCTGCTGCAGGAGTGTGGTCGCTGCCACCTCTGCTTGACCAGAATCACACTGAAGTGGCACTAATTATTCATTTTTGGAGAACTAAACTCATCAGAGTTATAAAAGCAAAATGTCGGTGTTAGTTGAGTTGTGGCTTTTGTACTGAAGAAAAAGGGGCAGGTAAACTCAAATTTATTTTCTCTGTCCTTGACAAAGGAGGCAGCACCATCTGCTGGTGTCACTGCTCCTGGTCATGCTTTGCTCATGAGCTGCTCTGTCTCCTGGCTTGCTCGCTGATCCCTGGCAACATCCCTAAGGACCCTGCAGGGAGGGTCTCACTGATGCACTGGCTGATTGACACCCTGATGCATGAGCTGCTTAAATGGGCAGGAAAATAGAAAATGCAGGAAATTGGGTGAAGTCGTGTTTATAAGCCTAACAGGGTTTGTTGTCCATCTCGCCCATGTACCACTTGCACAAGACTTGTTACTTGTGACCTTTCTGATTTCTCATCAGTCTTCTGAAGATGGGAATAGAGAGACCAGCATTAGAGCTGAGAGGACAGCATCAGAGCAGGGGCACATTTGAACTAGTATCCTTTAAAATGCTGAGGAATAAAACTTATGGGCTCAATGAGCCTTATGGGTCCTTTCCAAATTGGGATACTCTGATAAAACTGCCTCTTTCATTCCTAGCTCACCTTCAACGCATGCATCCCAAGCTTGCCCAGGTGACCTGAGACACCACCAGTCCTGAATCCTCATTAGTCTGTGACTTGATTTCTTCCCACCATGTTCCTTCACCTGGGATAGGACATTAAATGAGTACTCTGTGTGATTGAAGCGGGGTGAAGGCAGCTTTATTCAGTCTAGGCATCTGCCTCTCTTGAGGGATGGAAAGCTGTACGTATCATGGTGGCTGTAACAGCAGGACTCTGCTCTCCATATGCTGGATTCTTACTAAACTGGGGCCAACTCGTGTTCTCAGTGACTCCTTAATGCTTGGCGATGAGGCACGATGGCTCCGAGTCAGGGCATCAGGGAAGTAAAAAAAAAGAGAAAGCAGTGCTGGGCTGTAAAGGTAAATGAGGAGAAGAGGATGGTATCACAGAGGATTTTGTGACAAGGGTGCCCAAGTTCAGACCAGCACTCAGCTATAGATGTCTTATGTGACCTTAGACAAGTCACATGCATCTTAAACCCTTGGGAGATGGGTATTAACTTCTAGCATTCTAAGATTTGGTGTCCCTTTGACTCTATATGGAGGGAAATTGGTGTTCTCCTGCCTTTCAGGGGTCTTCTGAGAATGAATATTTCAGAGTAGGGAAGGTAGTTTAATCCTTTAGTGACAGATTCTAAGAGAATGGTTCCTACCACAAGGTTTCTAGCAGCATATCAGTAAGGTAGACAATCCATTTGCCAGGATGTCTATCTCATGGTGTTTCTCTCGTTTCAGGCACTGCGGCTGTTGCAGTTGCTGGCATCTTTGCAGCCTTAAGGATCACAAAGAACAAGCTCTCTGACCATAAGTTTGTTTTCCAGGGAGCTGGAGAGGTAGGAATGCTCTTGAGTTTGTTCCTACATATGATCTAAATTCAAATTTAGAGAAAGAAAAGTCAACCATGAAACTTACTGCAGGGCCTGGCTTCATGACAGCAAAGCACAGCAGCAGGTTCCGTGTCTCTGGGCAGGAGTGGGCCCAGCAGGTGGATCTTGCTGCCATGTAGAAGTTACCAACAATCATTCTGTGACCTCTTGGCCGGTGCATCCTGGGCAGACTTCCTGGATGCTACAAGGGTGCCTGTGTGTCAGTGGGGCTTTAAGTACCTTGAGGGAAGTGCCTTATGAGGCAGGGTGCTGCAGGAACATTAAGGAGGCTGATTTGAGTCCTCAGGGCTGGTATTTAGGGCAAACCAGAGCCCCTTTAGCAATGGAGTCAAAAGGACTCAGACTCAAAGAACTGTAAGAACAAATACGCTCACTTTTTGGAACCAGTCCTATTGCCCCCCTGGCAGAAGTCAGGTAGTCTGTATGGTGCCTAGCTCAAAGGGAGAGGGGGAAGTCCCTAATGCCTGGGCTGTGGACTAAACGTGTTCATCCAGGTCTTGGCTCAACTCTTGCCCACTGGTGGGGCTTTGGGAACATGTGTTACTCACTGTTTGTCTATCCCTCTGAAACAAAGACTGACTGTTCTCTTTCTCCACCCCTCCTGGCAGACACGTCTGTGCTGGTCACCGTGTCTGTGGCACAAAGACCCTTCTGCCTTGTTAGTCCTCACCTGGGCGGGGCGGGGGCAGGCACAGCTGTAGGACCACAGACACATGCAGCATGTCCAGAGCTGCTTCCTCAGGCAGGAGCGGGAGAAGAGGACTTCCCTCTTGGAAGTACTTCAGGTGCAGCAATCCTACTTTGCTTTGAGTAGCTCTGTACTGGCACCATCACCAATGTTTGTTCAGTGTCTGACCCTTCCCTACCCCCTGCAGCAGTTCATTTAAATGATTGAGACAGCCTCTACCTGTCCAGGTGCCACCTCCACTGCTCCAGCCTCACAGGCATCCTGCTCTGATGGATAGTTGGCTTTTTAATTTATTTCTGGCAGTACCTACAGTGCTAAAATCAGCCCCATGCCATGGCACTGCACAGCCATGGAACAGAAAGGCTCCCTGCTCTCTGCAGTGCTGGGGATGGCCCAGCACATCTCTCATTTAAAATCTGCCCCTCCAAAACACGGTGATATATCAATGAAGTGTTCATATATTATGTTCCAGGCTGCAATGGGCATAGCTCATCTCATCCTCATGGCCATGGAAAAGGAAGGAATCTCACGAGAGGATGCCATCAAAAAGATTTGGATGGTGGACTCCAAGGGACTGATTGTGAAGGTGAATTTGTCTCCAGAGCTGAGTTCCACTCCCTGCCACCTCCTGCAAGCCAGAGAGAGGCCAGAGCAGGCACATACCTTGGACCCCTGCTCAGCCCTGCAGTAAGGGCTGCAGTTTCACTGGGGTCAGCACAGCTGTTCCTGTTCAGAGGACTAGGTCTGATGGTGACAACTGTGTCCCAGCAGCACTGGCTGCCCTAGAGGCAATGCTGTGGGATGGGCCTCCAAAGTGGTAAGATACTCTGCTAGCTGTGGTCTCAGGGAGTGCTGGAAGTCTTGCATGTCATACAGGGCATTACAACAGCAGCATTGTGCCCCGCTTGATGATCCAGCCTGGCCCAGCTCTACTCTGTACTCCCTAGGTCCTCAGGACCTCTAGCCTTGTAACTCCTCAGACTTGTGCAACGTGTACAACTTCTCTGCCATAGCAGCCAGATCAATGTAGTTTGGAGTGTGAGAGGAGCAAAGACCAACCCCGAGTGACATTAACACCAACAGCTCAGAGCCTGGCTGGCTGGTGCTGAGGTTCTGCTCTGTGCAATCTGGATTGGGGAGCGGGCCAAGAGATGAAATGAACTGGTGAGTTACTGTGTTATGTCTCTACCTTTTGCCAACAGACTAAAGTTTGACTCCTCCTTTTTCCTCACAGGGCAGGAGCCACCTGAACCACGAGAAAGAAATGTTTGCCCAGGACCACCCCAGTGTGAACACGCTGGAAGAGGTTGTGGAGAAAGTGAAGCCTACAGCAATTATAGGTGGAGCTCCCTTAGCATAACATCTTCATGTTTCGTAGGAGAGTTTCTGTCTTTCTTCCAGGCCCTCCTTTTGTCCTCCTAGTCAAAATGCAAAGAGCTTTTTTCACCCTCATTTTGTCACTTGAGTTCTCCACATCCTTCCCCCTTTGACTGTGGGGCACAGGCTCCCTCTCTTTCTGAGCTGTGGGAGCCCTCCCAGGCATGGCTGAGGGAGGTGTTGGGGCAGGCAGGGCCTGGGGCTCTCAGCAGCTGACATGGCCCTGGCAGGCTGGGCAGGACGAGGATGACAGATGCTGCTGGGGCAGGTCTTTGGGAGGCAACGTGCTGCAGCCAGGCTGGCCTATAAACACGGATCCCCACTCTGCCCAGAGGAGCAGAGGGCTTATTCTGAGATGGGCTTCTAATCTCACCAGTGTATGAGAAGCATTCCCACCTGCATCTCCAGAGATGGAGCGGGTTCCCTCCCACAGTCCATCTCCTGTTGGGGGCATTCAGGAGGCATCAGCCCCGGGCACTGATGTCTCAAAGCACCATCTCACTTTGCTGCTGTTGTTTCAGGTGTCGCAGCCGTGGCAGGAGCTTTCACCGAGAAGGTTTTGAAGGACATGGCAGCCTTCAATGACAGGCCCATCGTGTTTGCCCTGAGCAACCCCACGAGTAAGGCGGAGTGCACAGCAGAGCAGTGCTACCGCCTGACTGAGGTACTGGAGCTCGGCGGGGGGGCCGAGTGCCCCGGGCACCCTGTGCCCATCACCGTGCCAGGGCAGCCACAGGGGCACGTGGTGGGTGGCAGCTGACAGCAGGCCTAAGCTGAAATGAGAGAGGTTCAAGCTGGTCATAAAGAAAAGCTTTCATACTGTGAGGAAAGTCCAGAGGTTGAACAGGGACCCAGATTGCTTGTGCAGTCTCTGTCCTTGCAAGTTTTCAAGACTAGGCTGCATAAAGCCCTGAGCAGCCTGGTCTGATTTCATAGCTGACCTTGCTCTGAGCAGGAGTTTGGGAACCTACCAGCCTGAATTACTTTGTGATCCTCTAGAGAAAGCACTCAACTCCTTCACCCATAGCTGTCTGAGATGTCCCATCCTCCCAGGTTTCTGACCCCTGTGTTTTGCCAACCTAATTGTTTACGTAATGGTTTCATCATCCACCTTGGACCCAATGTCACTGAAGAATTATTGTCACGTGGCTTGACTTGGTGTGAGAGAGGAGGCCCTCTCTCACTCTCTCCCTTTGCCTTCCCCACCACGTGCTGCTGGCAAAAGCAGTCACACAGCTCCCAGACCTTTATTCCACATGGATCTCTCTTCACACTCCATAGGTGATTCACAGAGAGGGAGGCATCTCCTCCTTCTCAGCAAGTTCAGAGCACTTGCAGTTGGGCAGTGCCAACACCCCCTCCGTGCTCAGTGGCCCTGTCCGTGGCCCTTGTTTCTGGCTCTGGGAACCAAGCCTTCCAGAAGTGTCAGCTGGAGATGCGTCTCGCTGACCAGATGGAGGTTTGTCCACGAGTCCCCTGAGCACGGACCATGACGAGCAGCAGAAATGTTAGACTTCTCCTCTGAATCTGGTTGCTTCTTGCTGTTTCTTTGACCAGGGCCGGGGAATATTTGCGAGTGGGAGTCCGTTCTCAAAGGTGACCCTGCCCAGCGGCCAGACCTTCTTCCCTGGCCAGGGGAACAATGCCTACGTCTTCCCAGGAGTGGCCCTGGGAGTCATCGCCTGCGGAGTCCGGCACATCTCTGATGATATCTTCCTCATCACAGCAGAGGTTCCCAACTGGCACTTAACTAATATCTTTTAAAATACGATAAGAGATATCTACTTTAGGTGTTTTCAGGCATGTGCTAATAAATGTGGCAGGTGCTTGAGATCATCCCTTTAAATGGCATTTCTCTTCTTCCTAGTCTATTGCTGCTGAGGTGACAGAGAAGAATCTTGCAGAAGGAAGACTCTATCCCCCCTTGAACAGCATCAGAGAGGTGTCTCTCAAAATCGCTGTGAAAGTGAGTAATTCCACTTTTATTTCCACTCTCTGTGGCAGGGAGGGCAGGGATTGTCCTGGCATCATTTTGGCTTTGTGGATTTTTAATTCAACTTATTCTACAGCCTAAAGCAACAGTTCTCAGGAATCCTTCCAGCCAGAATTACTGCTTTGATTTCTCCAGTCCTTAAAGCCCAAACGTGAAAAATGCCTTTTGATTCTGAGTGCCTCACAGCTCACAAAGCTGTGCTTTATTCCTTGGAGCTGTGAGTGTGTGGCACTTCCAAAAAATCAGGTTTAGGGTCAAATTCAAACACGATGCAAGTTGCCAAAAGATTTTAGCTTCCAAATTGCTATTTTGGAACTTCTCCTCCTGTATTTGATAGGGGCCTAAGTACCTAAATACTATTCCATATCTGGGCTTCTTGTGTAATTGTGTAATTGGTGCCCTGTATGCATCAAATCTAATTTCTGTTCAGGAGACACACACTGAGGACCACAGTGTCCTGCTAAGAGTTACTGTTGGAGGCACAGTGCAGCTAAAGGGTTTAGGGGTGCCAGCAGAGGTGGTTAAAGGGCTGCTCTCCTTTACTTGCACACTCCAAGCACTTTGCCAAGGCAGGGGTGTGCATTTCTAAGCAGCCAGTAATTGCAGGCAGCTTCACCCTCACCCAAGGGACAGCCAGGGCCAAACTGCAGTTTGTTTCAGCTTCGGAAGGTGCCAGTGTTGCTGCATCAGTTCATTTTGCTTCTCTTTTTGCAGATTGTTGACTGGGCCTACAAGCAGGGTCTTGCTTCATGGTACCCTGAGCCGGCAGACAAGGCAGCCTTTGTGAAGCAGCTCGTTTACAGCCCCGATTACGACTCCTTTGTTACCGATGAGTACCAGTGGCCCCCCGCAGCCATGCAGACACAAGTTGTTTAAGATTTTGTGAGAACTGTTTTCTCATTTTTACCATCAGTTCCCGTGGTTCATATCATTGCTGATATAAACGCACCTCCAGGCTTGCAGAATGATAAAAGTAAATTAACTCAAGTCTTTTTTTTACTTGCTGCTGCTTTTTCTCATGTCAGCGGGGAGCAAAGGAGAGTCCAGGCTGGGCAGCCAGTACTGCCCCGAGGGGG